CCAGTGCTGCAGTGGGTCTTGAGCCAAAGAGGCCAGTTCGGATTGCCCCTTCGGTGCTGGATCACAGAGTGTTTAGTTGTGATATTATACTATCCGTAGCCTACACTCTATTCGCATTAGATAGACGTAGATAGACGTAGATAGACGTAGATAGACGTAGATAGACGTAGATAGACGTAGATAGACGTAGATAGACGTAGATAGACGTAGATAGACGTAGATAGACGTAGATAGACGTAGATAGACGTAGATAGACGTAGATAGACGTAGATAGACGTAGATAGACGTAGAGAGACGTAGAGAGACGTAGATAGACGTAGATAGACGTAGATAGACGTAGATAGACGTAGATAGACGTAGATAGACGTAGATAGACGTAGATAGACGTAGATAGACGTAGATAGACGTAGATAGACGTAGATAGACGTAGATAGACGTAGATAGACGTAGATAGACGTTGATAGACGTAGATAGACGTTGATAGACGTTGATAGACGTAGTGTAGATAGATGTAGGTAGATGTAGATAGATGTAGATAGATGTAGATAGATGTAGATAGATGTAGATAGATGTAGATAGATGTAGATAGATGTAGATAGATGTAGATAGATGTAGATAGATGTAGATAGATGTAGATAGATGTAGATAGATGTAGATAGATGTAGATAGATGTAGATAGATGCAGATAGATGTAGATAGATGTAGATAGATGTAGATAGATGTAGATAGATGTAGATAGATGTAGATAGATGTAGATAGATGTAGATAGATGTAGATAGATAGTAGTAGATAGATGTAGATAGATGTAGATAGATGTAGATAGATGTAGATAGATGTAGATAGATGTAGATAGATGTAGATAGATGTAGATAGATGTAGATAGATGTAGATAGATGTAGATAGATGTAGATAGATGTAGATAGATGTAGATAGATGTAGATAGATGTAGATAGATGTAGATAGATGTAGATAGATGTAGATAGATGTAGATAGATGTAGATAGATGTAGATAGATGTAGATAGATGTAGTAGATGTAGTAGATGTAGATAGATGTAGATAGATGTAGATAGATGTAGATAGATGTAGATAGATGTAGATAGATGTAGATAGATGTAGATAGATGTAGATAGATGTAGATAGATGTAGATAGATGTAGATAGATGTAGATAGATGTAGATAGATGTAGATAGATGTAGAATGCCATGGAAAGCTTGCGATGGCGCCTTCTCACCTTTGATGTCGAAATCCCAATCGAACAAAGTGAGAAAGTCCAGGCCCAAAATACCACAGCATCCTGGGGGTACCTGAGCGGAATTGCAGCTACTGCGAGGGACTGTGAGGGACTGCCATGGACTGCTACAGTTTTATAGGATATGGTGCCCCATCTCCTGATCTATCTCACCTGATAGATATATATATATCACTTTGTTCACTTTATATACATATCATCTATTGTCCTGTGATAATCTGTGATTCATGTGATTGATAATTTGTCGATGACAATAAATGGTCAAGATTTCTGCCCCCAGTCGCTGAGGAACGGACTGGCAGCTCCTGATCAATGGTTGCAATGGTCACCTGTAACGTGAAATCGGTACAATCCCGAGAAATTGTCCCGATTTGTACCGGGACAAGATGTGCCAAGATGTACCAATTCCTTCGACAAATGCATGGTGCAAGGTGCAAGCAGGTGCAAGAACTGAAGTTGTGCAGAGGCATCCACGTTGTCTTCCTAGTGATATCTATATGAACTATGTTTTGAATCAAGCCAATCTATAGTGATAAGACAAACATTGCGACAAGACTGGATCTACACAACGAGTATCGGAGTATTGTAATCAACGATCAAATTTGCATATTGATTTCTTAAAAAATCTTAAATAATTTCTTAATCTGAAATCACATTTGATGAATTTGTGAATTTGATTTGCTTAGTACGCTGAAGTCAAAATCGGAGGCAGCCTCGCCACAGCTGATCTTGCCTCAAACTTTGCTGAAACGAAAACTCGTCTCATCTCGTCTCACAAACTTCTCCAAACTTGCTTTGAAATTTGCTGATGTTCTCTACTTTTCTTTAAACAAGAAGACATCATGGAGACATCACAATTTCCAACACTTAGCAAGGCACATTCGATACAATCGGCACATCACCGTCTGCAACTTGACCGTATTGCATCGTATTACATCGTATTACATCGTATTACATCGTATTACATCGTATGACTTGACCGTTCGTCAAGTTTCGGGCCATCTGCAAGGAAGGCGTTGCTGATGACTGCCTGCTGAATGCCAGACCCGGGAGCCTGGCAGTGGACACAGATGACACAGGCTGGGATCAACGACTGAACGAGAAAATCAACAAACAAACCTTTCATAAATCATCCAAACAATCTCCAAACAATATCAAACATCAATTGTCTTAAATCTTCATAAATCCAACCCTTCCCACGTATAGATTCATATATAGTACATAGAGTGAACTCTGTGATGCCTGTGATGCCTGGGATGCTGGGAATGTCGCTCCTTTGTGGCAAAGCCCTGCGCATCAGTCATCCGTGGCACCAAACGGGGTTACGCTCTGCGTGACCCCTGCAGCTTGGTAAGGATCTTTGGCAGAGCCTTGCCTTGTGACACCCACTGCAAGAGGTTCAAAGAGGTTGAAAATGATTCAAGTGCTTTTTGATGTTTTTTGGAATTTTGGATTCAAGTTCATGATTCATATGATTCAATAACATGGTGGAAATCCATTGAATGACGCATGTTCAATGTTAATGATGTTAGTGTGAATACCTCTCACAGCATCCACCGACAGACACGTTAGCACTGCTGAAGGATAGCCTTCGCCAAAGCCTAAAAGGCTATACATACCAAAGCAGCCGAGGAAATTTTCCACGCCGTGGCTTCAGAACCAACAAGTCCTGCCTAAAGATCGACCAAAATATCTTCATAAGGAAAAGTGTTTTCTGATATCATAGGGCCACGAAACAGAACGGTCAGGCACAACCAGAGTGGCACGCTTGAGTATCTTGACTGAAGAATCCGACCAACGAGCTAAAACATATCTAAACGTGGTAGCGACTTAACAGATTGATATGTTCTGATTTGTTCTGCCTTAACTCAGCGGCGCCACGCTGTGCCGTTGGCAATGACCAGTCAATGACTGCTACGCTGAGCCCATGGACAGACTGTCGGAGAAACAGCTAAGTGCCATATGAGGGCGGCTGAATGAGGCGCGTACGGTCGTATATGAGGGCAGCCATCGGTCCAATGAGCGAGTCTTCCGAACTTTCAACGCACGAGGCCAGCTGACTGCACAGATATCTTTAGATCCAAGAGGACATCGGGACAACATGGGACAACCATCAAAATGCTGAAGCAACGAAGTTCGTAGAATTTCTCAGGATTCCTCAAGTCCAATTTCATAATGCAAGAAATAGGTGCAGTGCAGTGTTGTGGATCATCGACCCTTAGGAGTGTCCAGGAAAATGTCTGCTTTGCAGAACTTTCTCTGCGGAACCCAAACACCCAGCTTTTGCTCATGGGATCTCATGGGCAACATTGGGCAATGGCAACCTATGGCAACCTTATCACCTTTCAAGAATCACGACTAGCTGACTAGCATGAGGATATCTGAGGATACACGGTGATACAGTTGTGATACTGTCATGCCAACGCTGTTCGAACTTGCCGGGACCCGCAGCAGTTCGGATTGCCCTCTTGAGAGAAAGATGAGAAAACGTCAAGTCTTCTCAAAAGAATCTTGACTTTCAACTGTTACAGATTGTTACAGTTTCAACTCTCAACAGATTACTCAGATTACTCATTGTTCACATCGCACGGCAGTCTCAGTGAATCTTCTCAGGTCAATTCCATGGGTTTGCGAATGTGCGCTTCCGAGGCCCTTCGCTGAGCCAACTTTGCCTTCGTTGCTGACGGTGAAAGCAGCAAATCTCCGAAGGGAGAGCCTCTCCTGCGACATTGGAACGATGAACATTTGGATTTCTTAACAACTTCTTTAAAGTGTGAGAAAACACAGAAATCGCGAGACTCTATAAACTTTCCAAACTGCACAAGACTGCAATGATTTACGAGTACAATGTCGTGTTGACAGTTGCATCGAAACTACGGTCTCCACTGTCTCCACCGGTGTCCTTTCAGTGCTGTGCGCGAACGGGTTCGCCACAATCTGGGATTCCGCAGCTGTCTGGATCCGTTCCCGGATCTTTGAAGCTTCAGCGAATGAGTTCACAACCATGTTGCGCAGCTTCTTGATCTCATCCCCAATCTTTGCCCTGCAACAAAACATACTTCAGAACGGCTATAGAACAATCATACGGATCATACTGAATCTACAACAGCACATGGCCATACAAGGTAGAAGCATGTATACACATGTACACATGTGCACAAGATTACACAAAATTGCATCAACACAAAGCAAAAATCAGCATATTTCACAAGGTTTCACTGCTCTGCTCTCTGTGCATCGTGAAATGTGCCAAGTTGCTGCTCATGCATGATCATGATGGAGTCGATAGCCCTGGCATTACCCTTGAGCCGCAAAGCGCTATGAAGGAACTCTTCCTTACAGCGAAACAAAGGTCGTGAAAAACTCCTGAACTCTCACATACTCTCACATACTCTCACTGACTCTCACAACTGTTCATATCTGTTCATCGAAATTTCCGTCCAGCTCTCCATCTAAAATCATTTGAATCATTTATAAATCATTTACATGAAATTCCCCCCAAACCCAGCAACCTCAGCAACTTCAGCAACTTCAACTTCTGAGCCCAGCATCATAGGAAACTTCACCATCTCGATCATCATCCAGCAAGTTGAAGAGAGTGTAAGCTTCCTTGGCCACGGAAATTTTTAGGTCCAAACATGTCCAAACTACACGAAATTGATCGAATTTCTTGTATGGTTTGCGCTGCATGGCACAGTTTGCCTCAAATACATGCATTTCGAAAAACAACAGTGACCCATTTCATGATCATTTCATCATATTTCATTATCATTTTCAGTAATATGGATTAATATATGATTACAGTAATGATTACAGTAATGATTACAGTAATATATAGTATATAATATATATATGCTCATCTTGAAGTGCTTAACATTTCAAGTTCTGGAATCTCCAAGCGACATGAATTTCCAACTCCAAGGCCTTTAACCAGGCTTCCACGCCAGGCTCCTGGAGGATGAGAAAACGTCAGAGATCGAACGATTTCACTCTGTGCATTCACTGCAATCTGCCTTGTATTAACTTGTATTGCGGCCAAACAATGAAATATCAATGGCCATTTCAGGAACCGATTGATTGGAGGTACCTACCATATATAAGGCCTATATAAGGCCTATATGAGGCCTATGTAAGGGAATATCCCCACAAAATATGGCCTTATATGGTACAGTACCTCATTTCAGGATCCTCAAATTCCCATTGAAAATATCTCTAAGCATGCCGTTTGAGGATATCACATTTGCATATTCTTTCAGATGTTTGATATAAAATCATCAGAATTAGCATGTAATCCGCATAAACATGTTACCTAATTTTGTATAAATTAGTATAATTGTCCTTTGTTTTCCCATGTTGACACGTTGCACATCGTTGCACTGCGTCAAAATCGTCACGACGCCTGAAGAGCTGTTTCCAATTCTTCGTAGGACAGGCGCCCATCCCCGGAAGCATCAGCCTCAAGAGGAAGTCATCGTAAAGTTCACCAAACGGATTCATGAAATGGATGCAACATATTGCAACATATTGCAACATCCTATAAATGATATTATGATATTCATGTGTATCATAGTATGAATATATTATGAATCATATTGTATCTGTATCATGTCATGTATATTATAAATAAATCTTTGTATTTCACTTACATTGATTGATCTGTCATACTCTTTCCATCTCTTTCAATGCCACTGCCCTGGACACTTGTGTGAATTGATGTGAATTGCATCGACAAGTAGCAGCAGTGAAGAACTGATAGACCTTTTGGCTGAAGGCCTCTTTCTCCTTCATCTTCCGAAGGACCTTCAAAGTCGTTAGCAGTGGTTACACGGCGTTACACGTCGTTACACGTCGTTACACGTCGTTACACGTCGTTACACGTCGTTACACGTCGTTACAGCGTTACCAGCACACCCAGCAAACACATGGGACAGCTTGCAAGGCTTGCCAAACATCTGACACACAAAATACACATTTTACGTCATTTGACATCGTCACGTCGCCACATGCATCTCTGAAGTCAATCTTATGGAAAACCATTCCTCATCATCCTCATCAATAGCATCAATCTGAAAATATCTGATATTATCTGATATCAATATCATCAGATCTTACATATTCTTACATGATCTTACGAAATCCTCCAAATAAAGTGGACTTTGTACTTGCTCGATCTGTCGTCGGGGCGCTTCAGCTTCTCCGTCGGAGTTGGCTGCTCGAATCCTATGGACCGAGACTGTGTCATTGGGGGATCCACACAGTGTACCGTTTCTTTCCCCTTTCTAAGCGGTTCTGGGAAGTCATACTAACCGAAGGCAGGTGTAATGATAAGTAATATTGATATGATTTGAGACTTTGAAAGAGTGAAACCACGTAAAATTCAATAAAATCAACAAAATTCAACTGATCTAGCAAACATATACTAGCATGTCTTAGCCACAAAATCAAACGCAACTCAAAAAGGAATTCGGAAATCATAATTGGTACAGTCAAGGGGCGTCTCATTCAAGAAGAGTGCGCCGATGACCCGCATCACAGCGAAGCCAATAACCTTGAGTTCGAAGTAAGCTTTCTGGATGATCTGAATGCATATCATCAAAGTGCAACAAAGCTGGCAACTCTGCCAGATATAGTAAACATCAGGAGACACCATGAAACATCCTCGGGGTTACGACATGTTACGACCTTGCCCATGTGTCACAGCCGAGTCACAACCTGGTACGCAATCCAGAAAATGCAGTACCTGGGATCATCTCAGAATATCTCAGATCTGAGATCTACTGAGATCTACTGAGATCTAAAGAATCTCTGGACACAGGGCGAAGCCGACTTGTCGAATTGTGATCGAATCTCTGGACTCTGAGGACTCTGAGGACTCTGAGGACTCTGAATTCGCCCAGGAACCACTCAGAAACATCTCGAATCAAATTCCGGGCCAGCAACGGCCAGGAGCCACTGAAGGTCGCTTCAAAGACGGAATAAGTCGCTTTCAAAGCAGTGCCATAATATTCCTTGCGTTCAAATCGTTCAATCATGTTTAACATGTTTGGGATAGGGGATGACATGGGATGACCAAGGATTGTATCAACTCAGAATCAACTCAGAATCAAATTTCAAATGAAATTGCAACCACAGAATATCACAGAATGCTGCTGGCATCTGTACATGTGACATATCATGACATGACTCATCATGACTCATCATGACTCATCATGACTCATCATGACTCATATGCCAAAGCTCGTAGACCCACTGGCGCTTTTCCAAATCTTGGGTGGTATCCAGAACATATTCCAAGAGAAGCTGGGACATCAAAACTCCGGTTCCCACCATGATGATGCCCAAAACCTCAGTTGGTCCATTGGTTGTTGCTGTGCAAGACGGATGCTTACTCTGTTAACAATGTTCAGAATCATTCAACACAATTATATCGTGCATCTGCAGTTTGAAGCACTTGCTACTTTGCAGCTAAGGCGGAGGCGAGCAATGCCCACATCAAGGGGCTTAGGCATTTGGACTTAGCACAGACTTGTAGGAACAGGTTCGAACAACAAGAATGAACACTCATCACTCGGATTTGTCAAGTATTCTTAAATGGAATTTGAACCAGCGGAGAGATGTCAGTGCTGTACTTGCACAAAGAGGAAACCGTCACTTTGATCTGGATTGCAGTCAAGCTGCAAGGACATCGCCAAGCAACCGCAACCTCAACCGTTTAAGCGTTGGACGAAAACAAAGAACGCGACATATAGATATTGGGGAAGAACAGAGATGCAGTCTTCCAAACGTGCTGTCCAACGGTCCGGAACATTCTTGATGAAGACATGCTTAAAGAACCATTGCCATAACAAGTCAAATCCATAAGAACAATATATATTATAATAAGCAATATTTTATCTAATATACAAGATAAAAATACACAATATAACATAAATAATATATCAAGTATTATGTCCAATAAGAACTTATGATATATATTACAAAAAAAAACACATAATATAAATTATGCAACATACAATATAAACAAAACATATTTAATGTATAATGCATAATGCGAAAAGTATATAATAATGTAAAATATATAACAGTAACAACTAATATAATAGATAATATACTGTTTAATGTAATAAACATGTATTATAACCAATATCACCTGTACTATCTAATTTAAAATAAAACGTGACAAAATACAACAGATAATCTATACTGTATAATAAAAAAAACAATATATAAAATATAAAATATAGTAATATTATGTAATATCATATATAATTATATATTATGTATTATATTTTTATATATATCAATGTCAAAAATCAAATTCATGCCCAGGAACTGTTGCAGATTCTTGGCGAAGCGCATCACACGGAGTACCCTGCGGAAAAACCAAACCATGTTTCAAAAAAATGTACGGCACTCTGAGAACCCAAAACCTCCAAACATTTCATCAGCCGAGATTTTTGGGGAAATGACCAGCATCAAAAGCGCTGGAAAATGATGAGCATATGTGTTGAACTTACTGTGCTTAAAAAATCAAACCGATGTTGAAAATTATGGTCCACTTTGTTAAAACTTATTCAGTCAATGCCTTCCAATATCAATTAATTGACATCCAATGTCGATCAACTTTAAATTAAAAAAAAAACATAGTGAAAAGCTCGGCCTGAAGATCCTCATAAGGCGGAAGATTCGTGTAAGACGACCCACAGCAAAGTTCTGGGCATAGCCAGCGTCAAACGGTTGCCTGGAAAGGAAACAAAGGTCTTTCACTGCGATAAGAGTAACACATAATTTTAAAAAAACATATAAAAACTGGTTGGTGGCTTCAACCCCTCTGAAAAATATTAGTCAGTTGGGATGATTATTCCCAATATGGAAAAAAACATGTTCCAAACCACCAACCAGAAAACCTATGTGATCGAAATGTATCCAATGTAAGCATCAGAACATTGGGAAGGGTCTGACTGCGATGCTGTTTTATTTCCAAAACTTGACGCCAGAGCCTACCAACACCTATCAGTGCACCGTATGACCGTATATCACTACATGCTTTGCCTGTTTGCAAAGAGACAACACGTATAGATTCAGTTCAGCCTTAAAAAAAAGAGCAAAAATTGCTCTGCCACGCAACAAATTAACGCAATCTATGAAATTCACTCAGTGCCAATTTCAGTGCCAAAAAAAATCAGAAATATTCCTCAAGATATTATGCACTGTAAGCCATCCGCTATGTTCATCAACACCCTTAAGGACATAGTGACATAGTGACTTTTCAAGAGATTGAAGCTTTTGACCATCTGTGCCAAGCTTCAAGACGTATACGTCGATGCTGGTTGCTATCACTACGAGCACGTCAAAGACGCCGAAGATGTCGCACAGGAATTTCAGTTTGTGCATGTAAAGACGCCATGCAATCTCCAGGACAAAGATCTTGGCACGTGCAAGGACTGGTTGATCAATTCGTCCCATCAGAGATTTCTCAGGTTCACTCTCTCAAGAAATCTCAAGAAACTTGGCTTGTCTATCCTGTCTATCTATTTCATTAATTCACATGAATTCACTACTAATTTTCGGCCCATTTCCCGAACCGTTGTGAACCTACAACTAGACCTCTCCATTGGAGATGCTTGCCCAAATAATTCAAATATGTTGGAACTGTCCGGGAGATCTTTGACCAAGAGTCCGCATTGAAGATGTGGTCCACTATGAAAAATGCTGTCTCCTTGGCATTCACCAAGAAATGTCTACTACTTCAGTTTCATACAAATAGCCTCAACGAATTATTCAATTCTATCGTAAAACATATTTAAAAAATACCTAGTTGAAAGACTTGAATGCTACGTATTTAAAATTGAACATGTTGAACAGCATCACAAAAAACATCACTTGAGGCTGACATATGCTGACCGACGTCACCAAGAATCCGCTCCAGGCCAGTCTTGGAAGTCTTCGTCAGTAAACTCCTTGCCCTCCAACCTTTGCGCTGCCTGAAACCCTCTCCACTGCGTCTGCAGCAACAGGATGAAGGTGTAAAGAACCTCGAGAAGTCGAGAAAGTTTGAGAGATGCAGTGAAATTGTGTGAAAGTGACTGAGGGTGAAGTGCGTTGACAATTGACATCCACTTTTGCTAATGAGTCATTCCGAGAATTTCTGATCAAATGGAAGAACTTTAGTGGAACAAACACCTGAACTAATGCAATTACCGGACAAGAAATACGCAGGTGACACGAAGATTCCAAGTGTGCTGTACTTTGTTGAGAAGCTAGTCCCTGCCTACTTTGCAACTACTTTCCAAGATTCGTGGGGATTTCATGGGATTTCATGGGATTTCCATGTCTCCTTCCTCTATCTTTCCACATCTTTCCGCATTGGCACATGTCATCACATGTCTGTCCGGTGCCGGGTGGCCACTAAAAAGCTGACAACTGCATCCACGACCTCGGGTCCGGATGCGGTGGGTCACACAAGTGCTCACTACATCCAGGGATTCCAGGGACATCACAACAATCCGTTGAGACATCGAGAATCATCGAGACATAGACATATAGGCATATAGGATAGATATAGGCTATAGGATGCTATAGGATGCTATAGGATGCTATAGGATGCTATAGGATGCTATAGGGGACATTGTGAGACCATAATTATCATGATTCTCGAACCGTATTCCTGATCATTCTTTCATGACACTGCAGCAGCCTGTTTTCACCCTGAAGCGAAGGGTGCGAAGCGTGTCTACATCTTTTACATCTTTTAGATTCTTTTAGTGCCAAGGTACTGATTCTCTGAAGTCAATCTCGATTCTTGTGACCAGTTTGTTGTACGTGGTCCCAAGCACTTGGGACTCAGTCAAGAGCCAATGTCAGGTGTAGGAGCATCAAACAACATGGCCAAAAGCGGCTAAACTTGCCAAACAATTTGGGACTCAGTCTGACTCAGTCCAGTGTAGCTTGTGATGCTTGTGATGCTTGTGATGCTTGTGATGCTTGTGATGCTTGTGATGCTTGTGATGCTTGTGAACATGGAGCTTAACAAACTCTTCATTCCTGTGCGAAAACGTGACATGCCGAATCAAATACATATGCAGTTTAGATGCCGCTCGCCGTTTCTTTTCTTCCAACTGAGCCTCCTCCCAAGCCTCACAGCTGTGAAGCCATGTGAAATCAACAAAAGTGTCGCTGACTGTAGCTGAACATGTCTAAAATCACCGTATCACATCTTATCACCTTGAAGTCTCTTACGATCTCTGCAAACGCATTTCCGACGACTCGTTTGGCATCTTTCTTATTTAAATTCACTTGAACCACAAAGGAACAACCTCTTCGGAATTCAAAACTGTCAGCCACCTATGACAAACATAACACAAAACATGACAAAAACTTTAAGCTCTTAAAATTTCTTAAAGCTCTTGATAGCTCGTCTGACTCGTTCTCTGACCTCTTGCATCCGCGAAGGTCTTCGGTCTTGGTTCGCAACCTGCACAAGTTTGGTCGACGTATGTCGGCGTGTCGGATTCCAAATATATTTCCAAATCGTTCATACCACACTGAATTAAGTCTTTTCATATTTTTTCATCATAACCCGCCTGGCAATATTAAGTGCAGCTATTGAAATTTATCCCATATTCTACCTGTAATGGCGATGACAAGAATCCGTACCTGCTGGATATTCATTGGATGTTCATCCAGCACTTTGGGGGACTATCCAACCCTAGTGTCACTAGTGTCTGTTGCTCATACCGAATCATAGCTTCATGATTGCCTTACTGGACCAATGTCTGTCACTCATAATGTTTAAAATTGATTTAACATACTAATGTCCTCTTCTAATGTCCTCTTCTTGGGCTCTTGCATCATCTTGACTCAAAGTGTTGATGGAGGAAGTTCCTGCATCCGAAGGCTGATGAATCACTCTCATGCAAACCAAACATGCTAACATATGCTAACATATGCTAACATATGCTAACATAACCAAGCCAAACTGTTGGCCAAATTGTTTTTCATGCAGAACTTCAGGCTTACCTGGTTTACGTCTCAACATGCATTGAACGATGTGGTGAAAACATGTGCCTTCGCTGCCGTCTTTGGTTTCTGGTGCCGGGAGAATCGGTGGTGGCTCTAGTCCTTCAAGGCAGGGAGGCTGCAAATGCTCGCACGGACAAATGGTACATAATCAATTACAAATGAAATTGAGTACGTGCAGCAGAACAGAAACTGGAAGAGTACAACCGTGCCAAAACAGAAAGGGCCCCATAGGGAAATAGTGCTCTTGAACTAATCATCTCTAGCAAATGTTCTGAGTTTCACGATTCATGGTTTGTTTCGTCATAAATGTTGAGATGTCTTGCGATGGTGTTGACTAGCAGTATTTCACAATTTTGGTTGAAGGTTTTGTGTATTTTTAGTAAATAGATGTAAATAGATGAAAGCAGCAAAACATGACAATCTGACAAATCCAAAGAATATAAACAGAATCAGAATGGATGCTCTGCTGATGTTCTACATATGTTTTTTTTTTGATGTTTTCTACATGAAGAGTCCTGGACCAGGTGGCGGCGCTGCCCAAGGCAGCACTGCCTGGGGCGCTGCCGGTTTCGTTTCCTTCGCTTCCTTCGCTTCCTTCGTTTCCTTCGTTTCCTTCGTTTCTTCGGTCACCGCCTTTTCCAACTTCGGTGGGGGCGCCACGGCCACGGGCGCGTCGCCTTTCTCGCTATCGCCTTGCGACTGCCAGGCGTCCAGCCCCTCCAGAGCTGCTGGAGGAGGTAAGCAGAGTCCTGGAGCTACAAATGACGAAATGATGACGAAATGTTGAAATGATGACGAAATGGTGACGAAATATGTATAATTTATCGGGCGAAGTTTAGAAGTCAAACTTCCGACAATATGGACAGATGGAACAGCAGGGGTGGGAAGAGTCAGAGAAGAGAAGAGCAGAAGAGAGAAGATCAGAGAAGAGAAAGAGGCAGAAGAAAGAAGATGCAGATGCGCGAAAAGGTAGGAAAGTCGCGAAACAGAGAAAGAGGTAAGAAACGATGTTTTGTGGCTCCGGAGGGTTGAAAAGTAGGCTCACTAAAGGGGCGGGTGCGGAGCCATCTGGGGAGATGAGAGATCAAAAACTGCGCACCGTTGTGGCGCGAAGCACATCTGGAAGCCAAAGGCAAAAACACCTCATGCCCGGAGCTCTTTTGGAAGTTCAGATGTCGAAAAAGTGTACGCTGCTGTGGCGCGAAGCACATTTCCATTTCAAAATGTTAAAAGCACTACATGCGGACCAATTTTGAAGGTTCAGATTTTGCGTGGCAGGCGCAAGGGATTCTGCACCTTGCCAGCAGTGAGCAAAACGTGAGGGTTTTGCAGCATTTCCAAAAACGATGGCAGGCGTGGGACATTTGCAGATGATCTGCAAAGATGCATCTTGCGTGGCAGGCGCAGTACAAGAGACATGTTCGTCATCAGCGATTTTAGGAGGTCAGGGCGCTGATTTCCTGAGAGGGGTTATATTTTGGAGCATCAGATCTTCAGTTTTGGGAAAATGATTTTGCGTGACAGGTGCAGTACTTCGTATGACCTGGCATCACTTGTTCGTGGCAGGCGCAGTACTTTAGACAGATGGATTGGAAAAATCGCAAAAAGCATTGGTACGAGGCCGTCAGCTCTGCGCTCAACTTTCCATTTTTGAAGGAAGTCTCGCAGAATTGCTTCGTTTTTGATGTTGTCAACTTCAAGAATTGAGGGAAGTCTCCCAGAATTGCTTCGTTTTTGCTGTTGCCAACTTCGAAAATTGAGAAAGTCTCGCAGAATAGCTTCGTCTCAAGCTTGCAGATCGAGAGATAGATAAATAAGACAACTACAACTACAACTACCACGACACTACACTACTACTACAACTACAAAATACAAATATACTACGCTACATTGCACTACACTAACTACACTACACTACACCAATCACATCTAATTACACTACACTACACTAAGTACACTAGTTAAACAAGGCGGAAGTTTCAAAAATAGGAAACCTATAGGAGAGGTTGGCTGTTGTCAATCAGGGGTGGCAGAGCGAAGCCAGTGATGGACTGAAAGGTGCTTGATCTCTCTCACTCTTTCTCTCTCTTTCTCTGACTATCTACCTACCTACCTATCTATTTTCTATGTATCTATCTATCTCTCTCTCTCTCTCTCTCTCTCTGATCTACTTACCCTATCTATCTATCTATTTATCTATCTATCTAATTACCATATCTATCTATCTATCTACCTATCTATCTATCAATCAATCTATCTATGTATCTATCTCTCTTTCATCTGTCTATCTGTCTAGCTGCCTACCTGTCTATCTGTCCATCTAAATATCCATCTGTCTATCTGTCTACCTGTCTATCTGTGGTGCAGTGTCATTCAGTGTAATGTAATGTAGTGTAATGTAATGTAGTGTAGTTGCGTGTAGTGGAATGTAGTGTAGTGTAGTGTACTGTTGTGTAGTGTAGTTTAGTGTAATGGAGTAGAGTGGAGTGTAGTTGTGTAGTCGTAGTTGTAGTTGTAGTGTAGTGGAGTGTAGTGGGGTGTAATTTAGTGAAGTGTAGTGGAAGGTAGTGTAGGGTAGTGTAATGTAGTGCAGTGTAGTGGAGTGTAGTGTAGTGTAGTGTAATGTAGTGTAATTTAGTGTAGTGGAGTGTAGTGGAGTGTAGTGGAGTGTAGTGGAGTGTAGTGGAGTGTAGTGGAGTGTAGTTGTGTAGTTCTGTAGTTGTAGTTGTAGTGTTGTGGAGTGTAGTGTAGTGTAATGTACTGTAGTGTAGTGTAGTGGAGTGTATAGTGTAGTGTAGTGACCCAAAGCGAAGCGAAGCGACATCTGAACCTCCAAAAGTGGTCCGAACCCCTAGTGCTTTGTTCATTTTGACTTCGAAATGTGCTTCGCGCCACAACGGCGTGCACTTTTCGATATCTGAACTTCCAAAAGTGGTCCGAACCCCTAGTGCTTTGCACATGTTCACTTCGAAATGTGCTTCGCGCCACAACGGCGTGCACTTTTGCGACATCTCAACTTCCAAAAGTGGTCCGGAGCTGGTATGTTTTGTACATTTTGACTTGGAAATGTGCTTCGCGCCACAACGGCGTGCACTTTTTCGACGTCTCAACTTCCAAAAGTGGTCCGACCATGGTGTGCTTTGTACATTTTGACTTCGAAATGTGCTTCGCGCCACAACGGCGTGCAGTTTTTCATCTCTCATCTGGCCAGCTGGCTCTGCACCCGCCGCTTTAGCGAGCCTACTTTTCGACCTTCCGGAGCCCCAAGTCATTGGAAAAACACAGTGCTTCGCGACTTTCCTACCTTTTCGCGCATCTGCATCTGCTTTCTTCTGACTCTTTCTCTTCTATTCTTCTTCCTTCTAATCTTTCTCTTCTCTCTGCCTCTTCCCTTCTCTGCTTTTCATCTGTCCAAATTGTCGGAAGTTTGACTTCTAAACTTCCTTCGGCTACACTACATTACACTACATTACACTACACTAACTACACTACACTA